AGTTCAATCCCCGGTACCACCAAAAAACGAAAAAAAAAAAATACTGTGTGCTTGGACACAAGGTCAAGATTCTTATTCAAATTCTAGGTATTTCATTTGAATTTTTATAATGTAAAATGTGTTATGTTTTCTATTTTTTTTTAATTTTTATTTATTTATTTTGTGTATGTGGCCAGCTCAGCCCACCAGGGGGCGGGCTGGCTGGCATCTGGTGCTGGGGGATTGAACCGCGGTCCCTCTATTTTGCTTAGCTTAGCTTGTTCTAAGTAGGCTCTTTAGACCACTGAGCCATCTCACCAGCCCTGTTTTCTATTTTTGTACTTTATGATTATTATATAATACAAAGTAAAAAGTTTCCTGACATCTAATTCCCTTCCCGTTTAGGTACGCTTTGTGCCCACGAGCATCCCCACATTTCCTGTGTGCCGTGACAGGTGCATGTGTGTGAACCGCAACATCAGATTCTTGGAATATAAATGGTGACTTCACCATCTGTTGGCTGTGTCATAATAGGTCAGTTAGGCAAATGTTGTGTCGCATCCTTTGATCGTCATGAAACTACAGGCAACAGTGATAACTCCCTCGCAGGCTTGCTGTGAGCATGAAATTCTCCATCCGGAAAAGATAAAGTAGGGCCAGAGCAGAAGAAGCTCCCTGGAATACTCGGCACTGAGGCAAAGCTCCCTGGCTGGCGCCTCCCGCAAGACGCTCTAATTTTAAGCATAGGGAATGCAGGTTTCCATGAAGCCAATGAGAAGATGGTCACACTGGGGCATGAAGGAGAGCGAACAGGTGGGCTCTTGGTGCAGCGACTAGGGATGTCGGTGGGCAGACTGGGTAGGCAGACAGCTTGACAAAATTTCAAAATATTGTGGGATTTCTAGAAATAGCCATGGCTTCTCGGCCTTTGGGCTAAGACCAAGTGTAGTATCTAGGAACAGTCATATGCGGCCCACATGTGCACCTCCTCCTTGTATCGATGCTACCTGACTCCCCGACAGCTGTGCCCCCCGCCCCCCGCCACCACTTGCCCTCTCTTCTAGGTTTACCTCACTGGGCCCAGGCCACAAAACATTGCTTTAATGTCCTGCAGTAGTTGCCTTTCCTGCACCCTCTTCCTCTCCTGCTCAACCTCTTCCATCCCAGGCTGTGCTGATGCTACAGTAGGTCTCTACCCACTCAAAATGTGGCCACGAAGCTGGCAGAGGGAATGTGCCCAAGGGTGCGCTTGGTCATGGCAGGCAGCCTGGTCTGAAAAGGGGCTCAGCCAGAAATTTTCCATATTCTTAGCAGCTAAGCCCACCTCTACCCAAATTTTCTTTTGATGTTTTCCAATGACAGAAGAATGCTTCAGCTGGTGAGTACAAAGCTGCCAAGGCATTTAGGCAGCCTTCCGTGGAACCCATTCAGAAGCCACTCCATCACGGACATGGACAGGTGGGAAGGAAAGTGGAAGGAACACACACACATACACACACACACACACACACACACACACACCATTGTAAGGCCAGAGCACAGAGCACCTGGCCCAAATTTAACATTTTTCAGCCCAGCAAACTGCTTTTCAGAATTTCTGGATGTGTCCTGTTGTACAGGATACAGAAGGATTCCAACCTCCATTCCCCCAAGCAAACGAAATGCTGAAGATCCATCTTCTGTTGGGGGAATCTAACAGCGCTCCTTGGGAACCCAACCTTCTACTGCCAGGCAGAGCTGACAGACGACTTACGTTCTGAGTCCTCACTCTTGAAGAAGCCAAGGAGTTTGATCTGGTCCTCGATGCGCTCGAAGGCTTGGACCTCGAGCTTGCTGTTGATGATCTCCACCGGGTCTTCCATTAGCTGAAATGCACACACACACACGTGCTCACAAATGTGTGCAGATAAGATAACTTTGCCCATCCCGCTGGGGAAATAGACCTCTTGGAAGGGAAATTGCAGTTGACCTCGCTGTTGTGACCTTCACCATGTGCCCCACTCTGCCCCTGGGAGCACAGCAGCTGTCCTTTTGGAGGAACTGATCTTAACTCAAGGGATGAGATGACTTGTCTGAAGCAAATGTTTTTCTCTTGCTAGCTTTTTTTCTTTGTTTTTAATGGTAAATTGATAAATAATAACAACTATACCCATTAATGGGTTTAAAAAAGGTGTTATGAATTATGCATATAGTGTGGAATAATTAAGTCAAACTACTTGCATATCCATTATCCCAAGTACTTATAAATTTTGTGATGAGGACATTTGGAATTTACTCTCTTAGCAATTTTGAAGTGTATGTTAATTACTATATTCTCCATATTATTCAATGTATCTCAGAGGGGAAAAAAAAAAAACAACCTTGCATACCTTCTGTCTGATTTCAACTTACAGCATTTTTAAAATGTATTTGGTACAGGGTCTTACTATGCAGCTCAGCCTCCCCAGAGCTGGAATTACAGGCTTGTGCCACTACACTGGGATTCTGGCTAGCTCAGCCTACCCTGGGCGAAGGGCTGGTGCTGCCTGTGGTGCCAGGCATCGAACTGTGGTCCTTGTGCTTGTCTAAGCAGGCGCTTTAGTCTGCAGAGCCATCTCGTCGGCCCCTCAGCTTACAGCATCTGATCATCATGTCCCCATGCCCTCCCCCAACCTCGTAACCTGCATTCTGTTCTCTGCTTCTTTTCGAGTTCAATTGTTTTAGGTTCCACACATGAGAAGACACACGTATTTGTCTTTCTGTGCCTGGCTTACTATACTTCGGCATGTTGTTCTCTGATTCCACCCAGTGTTATAAATTATAAGATTTCTTTTTAAATTTTACTTATTTATTCTTTTGGCTAGCTCAGCCTACCCTAAGGGCAGAGCTGGTGTGACATGTGGTGCCAGGGATCCAACTGCAGTCCCCTGCACCTGCCTAAGCTTGCCTAAGCAGGTGCTTTAGACTGCTGAGCCATCTCATTGGCCCCCAAGATTTCTTTTATAAAAATTGGATAAAATTTTATTGGACTACATTTTCTTTATTTATCAGGTGATGGACAAATTAATTGTTTGCATAACATCTCTTATCACTTACCAAATTAGGAATGGGCAGGTTGCCCACCTCTGGTCTAATGGGGTTAAATTTGCTGAAGCAAATTTTTTCTTGACTCTTAAAAAGAACAATGGTGGGGCTTGGGATATAGCTCAGTGGAATAAGTGCTTGCCTGGCAAGTGCAAGATCATGAGTTCGATCCCTTGTTTGAAGTCAGATTTGGGTTTTTCCTCTCCCATTGGATAGGAATGAGGAAGTGAGATACATTACTCACTTCTGACCATCTTAACACTGACTTAGGGAGAGCCAGCTTCAGGGAAAAGGCCAACACTGACCACAGAATCGTCTGTGGTTCACAGCATAAGAGCCAAGTTTTAATCAAGTCAAAAATCTTAACTCTAGTTTAGTGTTTATGTGGGTCAGTCATACTGTTCATTGTTGAAAGTAGCAGGAGTCTCATTTCCAGAGTCTGTCAGCTGGTGAAGCCGAGACAGTGCCATTTGGCCCGGAGTTGGGATGTGCTGCTCTTAAGGTTTTCAGGTCTTACTGGGGTAGGTCAATGAGATTGCCAAGAAGAGACTATGGTCACATTGGGGGGAGGGGCATGTGATGGTCTTCAGCTCACTTCTGACCTGCTCTCTGGCTTTTGAGGTTGTAGGAAACAAGCAACAGGCCACTGAGCACCAGCGTGCTTGGTATGGATGTCCAACAGCAAGATCTCTGTGCCAAACATGTCCCACAGCATTTAATTTCATAGCTATTATGAAGAATTGAAAGCTTATTTATCTATGACTGCAAGATTTTTGGTGTTTCCCATGCATCTGAATGTGTAGGTCTGTGTGTGGTATCTTCACGGCTAAAAGTGACTGTGATTTGGGGGTATTCCTTAGCGCTGCCTGTTCTTTATGCTGCTTTGAGGCTGACTCAGGGTGACTCACTGATTCTTCCTCTCTGTGGGTGACCAGTGACCCCCTTTGTCTCTCCACTGCCTGGTTGTTCCCCAGCAGCCCTGGAGCAGGCCAAGGAAATTTCAGTGGGTCCTGGGGCGTAACTAGTAGAAGAATAAGCACTTAACGACTACATGGGCCAGATTTGCGACCTACAGGTCACTAATCATCAGTTTTTTGCAGTCACTTAGAGGTCAGCTTCCCAGAAAAGGTAGAGAGCACTGTGATGTGGACATTGTTTAGACTTTTGTGAAGGCTGAGAAAGCCGTCTTAGACTGCGTCAGAATCTCCAGCTTTTCTGTTCCTCCTTTGGGGCTTTACCTCCCCCTCTATCTGAGTGCGGATAGCTCCACACAAGGCCACTGTGTGAAATGCTTACATCCAAGAGAAACTCCACCAGGACGTCAGCTGCAAACTCGCCATCAAACTCAATTGTGCGATCTCCCTTAAGCACGTAGAGGCTTCCTTCCTCATCAAAACCTGGAAGAAATAGAAAGGCACAAGGACAAAATTATTAAGCAACTGTGGGGAACTGGAGTTACCCTAAGGACAAGTTCTGTCCAAATAATACTTCTGAGGTGCACTGCAAATAGACATTTAAATTGAAATAAGAATTAATAGTTTTACCTGGATGTTAATTTCAAAGAAAAATTTATTTTCCATCCACTACTGCTTTAGTTTTCCAAAAATTACTGTTGAACGCATGTTATTCTCCTTATCAAAAAGGTTTTTTTATGTATTTAGTACAAGGTCTACAGGGTCTCACTACACAGATTGGACTCATAGTGATCCTCCTGTTTTCAGCCTCCCAAGTGCTGGGATTACAGGCGTGAGCCACCATGCCCAGTCTCAATCGCCATCTCAGCGTACCCCAGGGGGTGGGGCTGACACAGCACACTGGGAATTGAGCCCTGGTCCCTGTGCCTAACTAAATAGGTGCTTTAATCTGCTGAGCTATCTGGCCGGCCCTTCAAAAAGTTTCAATACCCGCCGCCCACCTGACTCCTTAACCAGGCATCCAAGTCCCTCTAGCATCTAGTACCAGCCCTACTGCTTCTGTTCATCCTTGGCTTGACCCACAGTCCACTGAGAATGGATCCTAGGCTCTCACAAACTGATATAAAAGGGGTGTGGAAATATATATATATATATATATATATATATGCCAGAAATAGCTCAGCAGCACAGCTCCTCCCTGGTAAGCATAACTTCCATCTCACCTCGACTGGATTAGTTCTTTGGGGACTCAGTTTCCCTATGGTTCAGCCAGTCTTGACGAGCTCATGGCGTTACCAATATGCAGGCTCTCGCCTAACAGTGTGTCCCGTGAGGGGTGAGGGAGGACCATTGTCCTGTTGGCATCTGTGCTGGGCAGAGCCTTGGCACCTGAGCAGCGCCCCACAAATGTGTGTGGCCACCCTGAAAGGCTTGTATTCCTGTCCTAGCAGAAGCACACATGTCTTCATCACCCTGTTAGCCAATAGGAACTGCAAGGGAAGGTTCCATCTTCTCCTCCACTGCCCTCCAGCACCCTGGTGTAATGTTATATATTTTAACAAATGCTTATTGGAAAATTGCATTTTCCCTCAGGAATGCTGAACAGCTGAGGCTGGGCAGTTATTCCAACTGCACAGTACCTTTAATTCCTTAGATTAATTGTTTTCTAACTCTTCCTCAGTGAGAGAATGCTTTCTCTAAATAAACACTTCTGCAGACCCTGCAGGAGACAGGAAGGCTGCGCTGCTGCTTGCTGTCCGTCTCCAGGCTTGCCTGAGGAGCGCCCAGCATACTGTTGGCTAACTGAAAGGAGCGGCGTGAGGAATTCTTGGAGCTGGTAACAGCAGACCTCAGAAGCTAGCAGAGGGAAGGGCCATCAGCCAGGGGCCTGCTGCTAGATTCTGTATGAGCACAATCAGCTTGCAAGCTACTAGAGTAGTTCCAGCTCAGCCTGATAGAAGCCACACTAAGGCAAATGAAAGAGCAGCTGAAGGTGAAGGAGCGGATTCACAAATAAAATTATGTCCTGTAAACCCCACGGAGCCAGCAGGCTGGGACGCTTCCCTCAATTCCTCCAAACTCCACTTGTTTGTTAGTTTAAGCACTGGGGCCTGAGCACAGGGCTTTATAATGCTAGCCAAGTGTTCAACCAGTGAACTACGCAATCTTCCCTTCTAGGCTGAACTCGAAAAGAATTTTATTTATACATATTAAGCCTCTTCATGTCCTTTGCTAACTCACTTTTATCAATTCTTGTGCAGTTTGTCCTCCCTAAATTGATTGATTGATTGATTGATTGATTGATTGATTGATCGATTGGTACCGGGAATCGAATTCAGGACTGTGGGCTGATCAGGCAGGGGTTTATGCTGCTAAGCTATCTCCCTCACTAGGTTTACACATTGTTGGAATACTAGCAGTTTTTTTGAAGTTCACTGAAAAGTCTCCAGAATATAGCATATTCACTGAAACAGTGGAAAGGGAGATGAACAGGTATCAATTGGCTCTTGGAGGAGAGAGAGAGAACTCACTAAATTGTTTTTGACTCTAGGAAAAGTTTACTGTACTTTGTTCCCATGCACATGGAGGAAAAATGACTTTCCTTAACATGTCTTCAGGGACAGAAACATCACAGGCAATCTTAGCAAGTCATTATCATTTTAGAGCCATACATTCTTCCTATGTCTAACTAGTCTCCTGAAATTTAAGTATTTTTTAAAAAGGCTGATCACCCAGAAAATAGTTGTTCATAAATTTCTAGTATGATAAACTTTCATACACCTGAAGATATTTGTTGAACTACCACTGAACTTACTATTTTTTTTTTCTGTGCAAAAAGTTTTCCCTGCAAATCCAATTAACCTCTCTTCAAAGGTCCTGTTTTATAAGCTTTTGCTATTTTTTTAATAGCCATCCTTCACTGGTCATGCAGAAAAAGCCAAATAGCCAGCACATGGGTGAGGGTGTTTGGAAATGAGGAGCTGCCTCTACCCTCCTTCTTGGGATTACAAGGTAAGACTCAAAGAGCATTTGCAGTTAAGCATGACATATTGACCCAAGAGATTACAACTTCTACCGCGTAGTCACTTAACCATATCTCACTGAAAGCCTTTCCCTCATCTTTGCTGATAATGTCCAGCTGGGGTTTATCCTTAAATGAGAAACCCCTGAGGCCCTGGAGTCGCCCTCCTCTAGTGTCATCTTTTGCTGGTTCCTTCTGTGAAATCACAGGTGATGGACGAGGACAGCATAACTTTCAGCAAGATCTCTGCCTGCTGCGCTGCAGGACACAGTGTTTTAGCCTACTGTAGGAACCAGAAATTAAGGCTTGGGTCTTTAGCATCAGTTTTTCTGGGAGACCCTCTTCATGGCACCATTGCAAACATATATTCAGTGACATGTGAAACCACTCACTTCAGGCCTAGATTTACTTTTATGAAACTCTTTCCCAGCCCCAGGTAGGAGAGGTCATTGAATCTATATGCAAAAGGCAGCCCAGCTGTCATGCAAGAACAAAGCCAACTACTTTTGTTTTGTAACTCACACTTGTTTCTACCTGAAAAATCTCAAACATCACACATACCCAGCTTCTTGGCGAGCCTGGCTTCTTTCTTGGCATCCACCATCACAAAGCCTATGTCCTTGTGCTCCAGGACCTGAGCCACAAGCTGTAGAGACAAAGAGGAGGATAAGTGGGCTAACAGTGGAAAGATGGTAGAGAAAGCACAGACGGCGCTCTCATATACCAACAGGAGGGTTTCCCCCCAAATGTCCTGCTGCCCTGTGACCAACGGGAGCAACAGCAAAGGGATCCTGTGCTTGTCCCTAGGAGAAGAACAAGTCAGCGAAGTGCCAAGAACCAAACAGAGAACATCTGAGGGGCAGAACTAAGAAGGAAGTAAGATCTGGAGGATTATAATACTGTCCACACTCCTCTTTTCTGCTTTCAAGGAAGGAGAGAGAAAAACAGGAAGGGAATCCGAGTGCCCTAATGCCCATGGATACCTGGCACCCTTGCCACCCTGAACCCTTTCTCAGCTGCCAACTAAACCTGAGGTGAGTGCGCAGGGATGAAAGAGGCTCCAATTCCAAACACAGCCTCCTCCTCCCTGAGCTTGGGGAGTAGGAACGCCCAGGAGGCCCCTCCTGGTGGGCTCCAGAGGTTTCCGAGAGCCCACTGAGAGGAAGAACCAGAGAGTGTCTGGGGTGGAGGCCCACCATGCCAGAAGGCCAGCAGGATACAGCAGTATCCTAGGTGGATACGTGGCTGGAAACTACTGTGTCACCTAACATACTCACTTGCGGTTTCTCCTCATGGGTGAGGAAAATAGTTTCCTAACCGTCCCAAAGCCTGGAATACTCTTCAGTTGTGATTGGAATTCTTTCCTGTAATCTGCAACCATTCACCTGCTGGTTTCGTTCAGCTGGTTCCTTCTCAGTCTTGCCTGTTTGCAGTCTACTCTACAGAATGGTGTCATCTATCAAATGCTGATGGGCAGTGCCTGGGTACTGGGACAGTACTCATGGTCACTCCCTCCAGAACCATGAGGGTTTTCTTTGACTTACGCTGATTTTTTGGAGTACAAAAAAGAACTTTAAAAAA